CACTCGTGGTTGTAGGGAGCCACCTGGTGTCTGCAGACACTGCGGTAGTGAACACTGATTGAGACAAAAGACAAGCAGTGGGTTTATTTTTCTTGTATTTTTTTTTTTTTTTGCTTTTGCTTTTGCTTCGAGACAAAAGACAAGCAGTGGCTTTATTTTTCTTGTTTTTTTTTTTGCTTTTGCTTAATGGCATGTGATATCAATTGAAATCAATTCCGAACTCGATGAACTCACCGGAGAAGAACTGCGCTTTAAATCCCTTTTTGGACACGGTGTTGTCCGACTTGAACTCAATGCGCATGTTGTTGTACTGGGAGGTGATGGCTTCGGGTTTCTCGGCGCCGCAGAACTTGCCGTGTAGCCTCGAATCCGCCGAGAGCCCGCTGCGCACCTCCACGTAGTCGTACTTGCAAACCTGAGCGCGGACACGAAGCCGGATGAAGTGGCGGCGGCGTTTTCGGCGGCGAGGTCATTGACGTGATACATGGCTTTCACAGCGAGACGCGTGGCGGTGGTGACCAAAAAAGGAAAACAGAACAAACCCACCCAGCGCCGATACATAAGAACCCCAGTGCTCACGTCATTGCCCTCAGTCTCGAAGACGTCAAAGAGCAGAGTGATGCGGTATTGCGTTGGGGCGACCAGCTGCCAGATGCAGTTCTTGTTGGGGGGGTATTCCCTGGGCCACCCGGGGCTGGTGATGGAGCCGTTCAGCTTCGTGATGAAGCCTCCGCAGGCAGCTGCACATGGCAAGAAATGAAATAAAACGGCATGACTGGGATCCAAGAGCAAATATCCATCAGGAAAAAATGTAACCCGTCAAGAGAAGTGTCAGCCCAGTCCAAGGAAATGCTGTGTAGCGTTCAATCCAAATTATTGCTATTAGTTCTGTCTTATTGTTTACTTGCGTGTCGTCACGGTTGTCAGCGTGGCAAAGGTGACAATGCGCTAGTTCAGAGCGAAGAAAAACACCATCCGACATACCCTCACAGCTGCGCTTGTCAGCGGCCAGCTCGTAGCCCGGGTCACAGGCACACTTGTAGCTGCCCAGCGTGTTGACACAGCGTTGCTCACAGCGACCGTTGTCCGGCTTGGAGCACTCATCCATCTCTGAAACACAAAAAAGTGCGTTAGGGAGCCTTTTCGCTGGGCCCCCTTTGCTTCCATGGCCGCCGTGCGAGACATCCTCCAAACAACGAGGTTCACACACAACCCCGGTGGCGCAATCACATACGGTGCGACCTTCAAACTCAAACGCCGCAAATGTCAAAACCTTGACTTGATTTTCCCCAAATGAAATTCTATGAATCCATTTCAGCCTCTCAAAAACCATCTGTATTTTTGGGGGGGTTCTGCTTTAAGCAAAAAAAGAAAGAAAAGAAAACTCAGTTGACATCTAGAAATCGAGTTAGCTCGCTGCCAAGTGGCTAGCTCAGTGTTTTCCAATTACTGTTCTGCGGCGCAATGTGTCATGAGAGATTGTTTGGTCTACTCAGGGGTGTCAAATCCATTTTCGTAACGGGCCACATTTTAGTTACCGTTTCGCTTGGAGAGTCATTATGACTGAAATCATCTTAAGAAGTCAAGAACAACCGCTTATATAAATTCAACTCTTGTTTCAGTTACTGTAATGAGGTGTTTGGCAACAAGAAAAT